CTTTCCCCATTGGCCCAGGAAATCCCTGCTGCTTCGCGTATAATGAACAGCGCATTAAGACCCAACAGGGTATCCCTGGCCAATCGTGCGAGCACCTCACTGCATCTATCATCAAGCCGAGTGGTTGCGCTCTTTGTACCGCGAAGCGTTGAAGTGAGGCCTGCGACCAAACACATGCCGTTAACAGCGCCATCCAACACACACAAAGCAATGTGGGCCAGCTCGGCCCTGCTTTTTGTACGCAAGAAGCTGAGTTTTGTTTAAGTCGACACTTGTCAGTGGAAGCTCTGCCAAACTCGTTAGCCGGTTCAGTTGGACCGCTAATTAATGTGCCACCATCAGACGGAGCGGGCATGGTTGGCATAGGTGGTGGCACAATCCTTCCCACAATGCGACCTACTCGGCCCTGTACTTCTGTGAGGTGCGTAAGCTGGTTGGTACACGATACTGATGAGGGCCACGCTGAATGTTCGGTCCCACTGACCCCCGACACCGAGTTGCACGGACTTTCTTAGATGAAATAAGCTTTGCCGCGGTAGAGCCGAAGGACTAGGAAAGTGGGGGGTGACTTCCCCCCCTACACCCCACACAGCTTCGGTCAACGCTTAATATTAACTGTGGCGACGCATGAAATAAAACGGGATACAAATGAAGCTTGTCCTCCCCACCTCCAGAGAGGTTTCGCTGCCACTGGGCTGGCGCACTTGGTTACTTATAAGTCTTAAGCGTCCTTCATCCTATCCTACGTAGCCACGCGGCTGTGCTCAAAGCATCACAGCATTGGGTCGCCGTGGTTTGTACGAAGCTCAGGAATTGCTCCATGAGCCTCAGATAGTACTGACGTAGCTGTGCCAAGCTCCAGCGGTTCTACTTCACCCTTAGGCTCATCGCTGAACGCCTCCCAGCTTGCCCTTCAAAATGCCAACGCCGTGTCCTGATGTCCGTATGAGCACGGGAGCCGAATTCCACGTCAATAATAATCACTCGGTAAAGGATCGACGTCCGCGTTCCAAGGCAGCTGGACGCAGACAGTTGCAGCAGGGGGGGGGGGGGGGTATATCTCTTACCGTGGTATTTTCAACCGGTAACGATATATGTGTTTTTCGTCCAATGTTCACAAGACGCTGTGCGCTGTTGTTGAGAAAACGTCCCAATTTTCGTCTCCTGCACAATGGGACCGACCTTGCGGCGCGGCCGGCGGCGTCATTGATTGGCCGCCGGGACGCCCACAGGAGAGTGGTGTGCGCCCCGGCGACTCCACGACCCGGACCAGTCCGTCATTGCCCGGCCAGAGAGGGCTTATTAAGGTCGAGGATATCCGGCTCGTGGCCGGCGGTGCCAGCGTCCGGTGCTGTAATAAACGGCGACGGAGACGTTACTTAGATATCGATGAGTGATGGCAGGGTATAAATTTGGGACCATGATGCTCTGGGGTCACCGAGCCACGGGCCTCCCGGTCACCGAATGTTCCCGAAGAGCAGCTTGCTCGCGGTGTAAATTATTATTGAAAAGGCGAATTCATGACATGGAGTGTGTGCAGGCCTTGAACTCAAACGGTGTAAGGAATTCGTGTTCAAAACGTCCTACCTGTGTATTGCATTGACAGATGCCTTACGCTGGATGATTTCATCACTTGACAGTTACCTTCAGGTCATGACCTTGTCTGCAGGTTGTGTGTTTCACAGACTACGATTGGGTTCAAACGACGTTAACGTGTGCAGCTGCCCTCGAGATCCGAGTCGGTGACTGATTCTCTGGAGTCGTTTGGATTAATACCCGTTCAGTCAGTGATGACAATTCAAGGCTATATTATGAAGACGAGTGGTTAGTGGTGGGGCAAAAGTTCACACACCTGGGTGTTATCCGCCGAGGTTTAGCCCGCACAAGGATAACTACATGGGGTACACTCTCAGCTCTCGGACGGGACGGATGTGGCCAAAACTTTACGGTCTTCACGCTCATTATATAACTTCACGCGCATTACCATGCTACAAAATTCACGACTGCTCTGACTGAGGCAAAATCTTCTTCCTTTCAGGTTGACGATGCACTCACCTCAAAATACTGCTGAGGCCGCCGCAGCTCCACAAGCAGGCAGAACATTCTGGCGATCTCCGCCGCGGGCAGACAGCCCCAGGGACGACCCCAGGGACCACCCCAGCCGCGACCCCGGCCCGGCCGCAGCTGTCGACAGCGCCGAGCACTCGGCCCCGTTCGGCGCGCCCGCCAGCGTCGCGCTCCGGCGACTCGTGCACCCGCTGGACGAGGACATCCTGGGCAGCTTCATCAAGTCGTTCACAGTTGTGGTGCTGAGTCTGACGCTGGGCGTGTGCCTGACGCTGGCCGCGCTGCTGGCGTACCCGCTGGCGGCGGTGGCGCGCCGGCTGGCCGCCGTCTGCAGCGCCGCACTGCGTCGTCAGCCACTCAAACAGCGTCTGGGCGTGGCGCTGCGCCTGGTGGCGCCGCACGACGCCCAGTGGCTGCAGGCCACCGGCGGCGTCGAGCCCGTCTACCACGCGCTGCTCTTCTTTGGTGCTTCGTTCCAGCTGGCCGCCTTCCGGGCGGTGGTGGAGACGCGGCTGCGCCACCAGGCGGTCGCCTCGCGCGCTTCCGTCGAGCGCTTCTTCCAGAAGGTGGTGCCCGTGACCGGCGGACTTGCCTGGGTCACCGACGAACAGTTCGCAATCGAGGCACACGTTGCGGCCGGGCCGACGGCGGCGAGCGCGACCGAGCTGGCCCGGTTCGTGGCCGGCCGACTGCGGCGCCGCCTGCCTGCCTGCCGGCCGCTGTGGGAGGCCGTGGCGCTGCCGCTGCCAGCCTCCAACGAGACGTGCGTGCTCTTCCGCGCGCACCAGGCCGTCTCGGACGGCGTCGGTCTGCTGCAAGTGCTCCGCCAGGTGCTGGCCGACGCGCCGCGCCCCGTCGAGGCGACCAAGCCCACCTTCGGCAGCATCACATACTCCCTGAACGTGCTGCGCGCACTGTTCGTGACGCCCGTCACGCTGGCCGAGTGGCTGGTGTCGTCGGCGAGCGACGGCCAGCCGGCGCCCGGCTGGCAACGCGCCGACGTCTGCTTCGGCACCCTCAGCTGGGAGCACGTGTGCCAGGTGAAGCACGCCACTCGCCAGTCGGTACACGAAATCCTGCTAGCGGTCACGGCCGGTGCCGTCCGCGCCGAGATGACGCGCGCCGGGCTCACCCTCCCGCCTGACCTCAAAGTGAGCGCTCACTAACATTGTCCGCATGAACGTTTATATGTTGAATACGTATGCTATTTATGCAATGATTGTGTATCACGTTCTGTGCATATTTCTCTATGCTTCCTGTTCTGTCGGTAAAACTCAGCTATTAACTTCAATATCCTTTAGTCGCATGCCTACATAAAGATCAAATCACAAGGATCGTACCGCAGTTGACTTTCACATACCAGACTGTGCGATACGTTTGCCCTTGATAGTCCAAAGCAGAACTGGAATATTCACGGGCTGAGGCACGGCACCGATATTCCCCTTATCTTATGGATTATTCCAGCGCGCTTGAAACCCCTGCGAAGGCCGATCCTAGTGTGCCAAGGTGATGCTGTGAACTGCACTGCTGGCTCTGCTTTTTGTTCAGACAGCAAACGACCCGTCAGAGTATTGAACTATTGCACACTCTCCATTACTGGTGCGGAGGAACCTGACCACGCTTTTCTTCGCGTCCTCAACTATCCCCTCGTCCCACTGCAGTTCGCAAGCGGCCTGGTTAAAATACATGCTTCTACATCTCAATAAGTCCCTCGGCGCCGAGACAACGATGGCGTTTGAAACCCGCCGTTAAACATATATAATATGCGCGCCTTTGTGCTACCAGATCCCAATTTACGAGTTTAGCAGCTTACCCTTTTGATAAATTAGCCACGCTGAAGAACAGCCCGCCGGCGCGATGACTCATCAGTGCTCACCGACGAACTTACTTGAAAAGGATTTTATGAGCACCTTCCCTGTTTCGCTGGCCCCCTGCCGTTTGCACCTCTGTTCTGTCCCTTGCTGGGCCCACCCCTCGGAGATCCCGCGAGAGGATGGGCCTGGCTGACCGGGCAAAGGTCAGCAAATATATATATATATATATATATATATATATATATATATATATATATATACAGTAGGTACTTGCTACTTGTCTTCACTTAGTTCATAATGTCCTGTCTCGACATTGGTATACTGAGCCTCTTTGCTTAGCTCTACAAAGGAGGGCAAAAAGCAGACTCGTCTCACCTTCTTTACCACGACTTTGTGCTTTCAACTGCTTCAACAACTCAGAAACTGCAGCGTGCTTTCAGAAAATATCAATGACAGCGACTGAGCTGCCGGATCTAAGCTCCCAGACCGATCAGTTTCGACTATCTCCAGACAAATTGAGCCCTAGGCCAAATTGCCTGGCAACATCTACTTGTGATGGCAGACGCCCTCTGCCAAGGCCAGCCCTCGCAGACTTGTGCGGCCGCAGGCAATTTCACCAGGAATTCGCTCATCGTCATGCTCCCAAGCTGATGGTGCTCATGCGGTGTGCATATATGATTGGTGATCTACAGACGGACGGCAGGGAGCGGACAGCCCACCAGTACTCTCCCGCGTTGTGGTGGCCTGAGCAGGCGGCGCATACAAACACAGTGGACTGGCCGGGCAGCATGCCACCTATTAATCACCGGTCCGACGTCTGCCGTCAAGCGCTAAACGAAGCATTTCAGGCACCGGGTTGAGGACTCGGTCCGACCTTCTCAGCAATGCGATGCTGTGTCATATCATACCTGGTGGAGAAAACGCTTTGGAAGCTCACAGCCCGCGGACACCATGACACAAGGGGGGTTGCGATGGCGTCCCGAAAGGGGGCCATCTGTGAATACATGCATTATGTATGCATTCAAGGACTGGGCAGAGCTGTTGCCATGCGACACGAAAGATGGTAAGCTGGGGAAGACTGGCCCTGCATCCAGTACTTTAGCGACCGCAGTGAATGCACTCAGTTCGATGTGTGTTTATTGCGTCTAACTTCATAGCCAACTACCTATCAAATGCCGCAAACTGGTGTACTGTTGCGTAACAGGAGGAAAAGAGGCATCCATTCATTAAATAAACGCCAAACGAGCGCAGTCAGCAGCAGGGGAACGATTCTAAACTTCGCAGCGGGCGGACCAACGAACAAAGACAAAGGCAGAGGAGCGACACAGGAACAGCAGTCACACTCAATCCTAAACGTGAATCAGCGGCACCACTTTGTACTCATGACTGCGTCATCTAGCCTCTCACAATGCCTCTTGCACATCGCGGCAGCACCCGTTCTTTACGCGGACACCACGAACCGCCCCACAGCGCACATCACAGGCAATCTCCGAAAGCCGGGCGGCGCCCTAACCTCGCCGAAAGAACCCGCCCAGGTTCTGCCCCTGGTTGATGGTCTGCGCGTTGGCGTTGGACAGGTTGATGTTGCCGAACGGACTGTTGAGTTGCAGGTTGCTGGCCAACGCCACGCCTCCCACGAGAGAAACGCCGTTCGGGTTATTCTGCTGCTGGGTCTGCACGTTGGCCGACACTTGCGTGATTTGGCTGTTACCCTGCGTGCCCTGCAGAACGTTGGCGTTGGCCTGCGCATTGGAGGAACCGCCGTTGTTGAAGCCGTTGTTATTGAAGCCATTGAAGTTGAGGAAGCGGTTCGGGCGCACGAAGTTATTAAAGCGGTTGGGTCGCTGGAAGCGCCTGTTGGGGCGGAACCGGCGATTATTGAAGCGACGACCGCGGCCGAACTGCGGAGCTGCTTCACTCACGACCACCATGGCCACCAGGACGAGGACACACAGAGTCCGAGCTGAAACTGATGGCGGGCGTCAACTCAGGGCGACGTAAAATCCAGCCGGAAGGCCTCCGGCGTCGGGGACAATGAACAGAGTCCGGAGGGAAATTGGGACAGGAAACAGGGTACAAGGGGCAAGGGGCAGGGGGCAGGCATGGTCAGATCCGGAGACACTGCACCTTATCTGAACTGAAACCGGCGGTAGGCGTCGGAGCATGTACTCATACAACCCGCCAGCGAGGTTGAAGAGGATACGGACAATGCATGAGTGTAAATACTGCCCAAACGAGAACAGTTTGAGTATCGTGACCTCGGCAGCGGTTCTGAGAGAGGCACTTGCCGTGGGCACCTTGATAGCGGCACTGACGAGGGAAATAATTTCTGCTTTTTGACAAAGCATTTGCAATGCTGCCTCGACTGACCCAACTCGCCACATTGCAAGTCATTGTTCGGCTGGTTGCACAGGCCTTCGAACCGCTCAGTGCGAGACACCAAACCAGTCGAAGAGAGCAAGCAACCTCCGTGTTGATGTGGGCAATTAAAAGTCAGCTTGCAAGAGCTAGATAAACGGGGGGGGGGGGGGGCGGGGGACCATTCAGAGCTTGTTGGCCAATAAGCTCGGCAACGTTGTGCTATTTGTAGCTCCTTACAGATTTGCTGCCCAAAGTTTTACACACCGAATCTGGAGACGACTCGAAGGAGTAGAAGTGCTACAAGAAATAGCTCGTTTTGCGTTTATTGCTCTTTTCACATATTGGCTGTACGCATGACTGCAGCAATTTTGTATGACAAAAATTGCCCATATTACATGATTAATCACTCATCTTGTATTCTGATTTCATAATTTGTGTCATATCATTTCAGTTTGTATCATATTCAGTAAGTTGTCCATGTCATGTCTTTTAACATTTCATAACATTATATTTTATTTATCATTCCATTTGCATCATTTCAACCTTATTCATGCCATATAAAGATGGATCATATTCTACGATGCAACAGGCAGCATGGGGGCCAGTTGGGCACTGCCCAACCAATGAGCGTGTTTGACCCTGAAATAAATGGTAGTCTGCCTCGTTCCCCTCGGGTTGGACGGGCGTCCCTCGCCGAAGGCTGGTCGGGGTGCGCCCTCTCCACCCGGCTGACCTTGGTAACTGCCGGGCTTTCGAAGGCACGCCTCGCCCAGAGGCTGCGAACTGCAGAAGGCAGCGGGAAAGACCTTCATGTGCATCATGTAGTATCTGGTGGTTGGTCGTTTGGGATACCATAGAGATACCAAGCATTATGAACGGACGGGGTCGGAGGCTTAGTTGCAAAACTTGAAATAAAGAAGCGCAAGCAAACTACTCTGCATTAATCAGCGGTATTGTGAAGAGTCTAGATTACAACCACATGTTGTGATTTGATAGCCATGAAACTAAGAGTGGCCCTATCAATGGGCATTAATCCAAATTTGAAACATATTGTCCTTCCGTTTATAGGCTTGAAGATCGCAAGAACTTCAAAAAGAGGCAACAAACTCTGTGTCCCTGAAACCGGCTAATGCCTGTTGGCCGGGAGGGCCCCGAGCGTGGCACGCACGGCTGATGTTTATGACTGGGGCTAGGGCGCTGGAAAAACCCAAGTAGGCCCCGCAGGTGGTGGCTCGGATTCCAGCGGGCGCCGGGGGGCAGTGGTTATACCTCGCTGCTCCGGGCGGCCAGGTGACAGCTGTGGTTTGACAGATTGGTATGTCGCTGAGTCATCGGACTCAAGAGTCCGATGACTTCCTGGTTTCTATCTCGACGCGTTCTTGAGATGCGGCAAGAAGACAACCAAACATTCACAAAACAACTGAGTTTTAGCCTGTGTTATGGACTTTGCGCTTCCTCTCAAACAAGGTTACCATTTGTGAAAGGCACGGAGCCAATTTTTGGCAGATCGCCCGTCTGACAAGTACCTCTCGCCGAGGTGACCTTCATTCAGCGCTCTTTGCATACTGGTCGACGGAGGGTTTTCCTACTCTTGACGCGCGCCCAATTAGAATTGCAAACGAACCATGCCTCCAGCATTCTCCGATCGCACTCAGTTCGCTGGGCATGACTGGTGGTTTGGCTGGTAGCACTCTGCTGAACTCATAGAGCATAAGTGGACTCGCCTGGACTTGACGAGGCATCCCATTTTTTCTTTTGCGATATAAAACTATGTCAGGAAAATGAGCTGCTACATGGACATGGTTAGCAGATATCATGTGGCTTAAAGGGAGCGTTCCGCATCTGTAGGGATGTTTGAACTGAAATGGCCATCTTAAAGGCCATTTGGTACATTTCACAGCTCTGCCCCTCTTAAAACCTAACCCACTCCCTAGTTTTTGAGGTGCACGCCCGCGAAGATGTGCAAACTATTTTTGGAGACTATTTCGAGGTCGCCCATGCATTCGTTATGCCATCAGAACTCCATTCAAATCCTGCTATTTATTTAGCCATTCGGTGACCAAGACCAAGAATCGTTGAATTGTTAAATGTTGAATCGCTTCTATTTGGCGCTCATGAGCACCATATCCAGATGTGAGGGCCGTCAATTGGCTCTCAACCAATGTTGTGGGGGATACGATGTCGTATTCAAACAGTGATGCATGGAGGATCATATTTACTACACAGACAAGTTGTGTTGTATTGAGGATTCTCATCCGCTTAAAATCATACAAATTGTTATAAATAAACTTATCTAATCATCCAAAAGGCTAGCTTCAATGTCTTGAAATTCGGAGAAATTCGGAAACACTCCCTTTAAACAGTGATAGCGTGCATCACGTAACCTCCAATCTAGCCCAGAATCTAAGCAAAAAACTAGAACAGGACAGCTTTAGGACATGGTTGCTCACTTTGTCAGAATCAAAGAATATTTAAAACAACGCTGCAAAATTACCCTAGCTGTTACCAGCTTCTTTTTTCGATGACTACTGATAGCATAGGTGCAAGCACGAAGGCGTGGGTGACATGGCACCCCCACTGTCTAAAAATGCTGAGAATTAACCCTATGACAACACATGGATAGAACTCACTCTCAAACTGGTGGTTTTAACGGCCCTGTGTTCTGATGTTTTTTCTCCTCTGATCGATCACATTCGGAATCTAAACATTATATACCATTATATACCACGTATTCATTTCCCACGGGAAAAAACTAAGATGCGGATGGATAGAGTTTATGCGAGGAAAACCCCTGTGAATAGCATTAAAGCATCAATAGTAAAAACACTCATCCGCCAGACCACAAATCTAGACGCTTCTATCGGGCCCATTCCACCTTCGCTGCTCAGCTGCGACCACCGCGAGCCTCGCAGAGCTTAACATCAGGGCTCGGCAAGCCGCCACTCACCCATGCTGGCGTGCTGAAGAGACACTCCGGGCGCGGAGAGAACAGAACAGGCTGTGACTGACTGTGCCCGGCCAGCCGGCGTTTTTATGCGCCCGCCGCCGGCGGCGAGAAACCGGCAAGAGACGCGCTCACCCTGGGAAATCCCAGCACTGGCCGGACGGGGGAGGGCGGGCCCGCCCCGCCCGGCGCGGGGCACGGCCGGTGGGGGCCCAGCAGGTTTGGATGCGGAACCGCGTGCCACGGACGCCGTCAGAATGGTGCCACGGTCGGAAGGGGGCCGTGAGAGGACGACTGCCCCGGCATCGATCGGGAATCACCCGCTGGAAATGAAAAACATCGCGAGGCTGGCTGGAAAATGGTCGTGTTTTGTGTCCCATATTGGCTAACTGGTTAGATATGTTACATTTTCGATGTGCACATTCATATCTTCAAAGCTAGCTGCTTTGATTTGCATTTTTCACACACTTCTTGCGCTTCTTTTTTGCGTGCGATTGCGTGTCGCCTGATGCCTGCCAGTGCGCCGCGATGGTCTCGAGACGAGCGAAACGGTCGATTCCGCGCGGGCCTGCCGGCGGACACCATCCCCAGAGCCTGGCCATTCCGCATCCTGCCCGATCTATCAAAGTGTTGCGCAAAAACCAAGGCGGGTGCAGTCCGACTGCGGGACTGCGCTCAGGTGCGACAAAGTTGAGGTTGGGGCCACTTTAAAAGTCAAGGTGCATACCTCACAGGAAATGTGCGATCACGGGGACGTGCCATTGCCTTTTATGACGCGGAAGTCTGTACTCGAGGAAAGTGTGTGTGGCGGGTGTATGATTAAAGACAAAAGAAGGCAGCTAACGTTTGTAATGACAACATGAAACGTCAGCTGCTAGGCGGACCAAACAGGTGTGCACTTTGGCAAATGTCACCGCTTGTGGTCGGCAGTCATATGCCATCAATATTGCTGCATGAATGCCTCATAAAGGTTTCTTTTGTTATTGAGCAGACAACATTTGTAGAACAACACAATACAAACTGACGGTTTTCAAGAGATTCAAGATAAACCACCCAGCGCCAACAGTAATATTTTTTTTATCGGTGCTCAGAATCAGCCTGGCTTACGTTGTGTTCTCGCTGCCAGCGTGTGACATTAATCCTTTATGCAGTTGCTAGCTTTACGCAGACTTCTGCACGGAACAGATTACACTGGGCCTTCCTACACTGTTTATGACATCCCTCGCCAACCCCGAAGCACCTGTTGCTTCCACCGGGATAAGAAGAGCCATTTAGACCGTGGGTTGCTGAGCCTGTAACAACCGCTCCCACCGTGGGCGTACCACTTGCTGCCGAGACGCATCCAACGAGGATTCATTAGTTTGTGATATAGTGAGTCACAGGGTAAAGCCTCTTTCAAACGGAGGGAGGTAACACATGTTTGGGATCAAAACACCGTAGCGTCCGGCATCTTCGCATTGAATTTTGACATTTTTATCATACGACTTCAAATATTGGGGTTCTAACCTACAAGTCTCACGCGATCTATGCGAGGGATGACTGCTATAGAACACATCACAGATGCAATTTTAGGAATTCGGCACAACTCAGTCCGGCCCTCCAGAAGCCAACCCACCCGCCATCCCGGCTTCCTGGAATTTCTAAATCCAATCCGGTCACGTATAACTAAGCAAAACCTGCTTATAAGAGTGTGCATAGGTCTTCCTTAATTTCTTTTCATTTTATCATGCCGGACAGACAAATGAGCGCTCGTGACTTCTCAGCGTATCATGCTGTTCGTCTTTAGCAAGTTTTATGTTAGTGTTGCGTCTGGCTGTGGGAAGAAAGATTCAGGAGGTAAATCTGAAGCATTCTGACCAATTGCAAGAATCAGCTGCTACCCATAAATGAGCTACCCACGATTGGCGCTCTCCGCCGCTGTGCCGGAGGTGTTCGGTGGAGTGTGTTTTATTTTTTAGCCTGGCCTAGGTGATGACTAGTTAACCATCCATCATGCTGCTCTCATTATTAGTTAGGTTGTACTGAAACCTGCGAATACATTTAGCACCATTAGCAATTAACCTGGTTTTCAATCCACCCAATCCGTGTGCCTATGCGAAACTATAACTTCCGGTCCAGTTCTTATCCATGTGCTGCCTAAAAGTTCCGATGCGGTCCGAGCTGCCCCGCGCATTTGTCCGCCATTCACGGACTGGTCTCATCCGTGGAGTTCTCTAGGTCGCCGTTTATATAACTGCATTTTTGTGGCTGAGTGCAGTGCTGAGCTTGGTCAAAATGTAAAACACTGTAAACTACCTGCTATGTAGAACAAATGCGGCGCCGTTCTGTCGCTTTGAAGGACTGTCAAACTGAGCAGATCCAAATGCTTGATCAGGCTCCGAGGCGAAGGGATCTCCGACATTGCGCCGGGCCTCGAAGACATGTGCCGACCCTTCTGGACAGGGAGACCAGCTGGTAGATTCCTTGGACAAACCATCCCGCCGTGTGATTCTCCATGTTTGGCGCGAAAAGCATCCCGATGGGGTCCCCATGTCCCCGCCGCGATACGCTTGAGCAAAACCAGACCTATTTTCCATTCGGGGCCTCTGGGCTACCAGCCGCGCGGCGGTCTCGGCGGTTTACGACTCATTACGTGGGTGGACAGCGCCCACAGCACCGCTGTTGTTGACCGGTTACCGGGCGCACCCAGCGCTAAGGCAGTCCCGACACGGCAGCGGCTGCGGCGACCAGAAAGCCGTGCCAGGTGGGCAACGCTGACTCAGCCAGCACGCGCCGAGCGGAAAGACTCCCGTGTTCTGGGCGAGCGATTGTGGAGGCAAAGGTTAGCCGGATGCCCGTAGGATTGTTTGTTCGAGAAGCTCCGAGAACATTGATGGGCCCGGCCTACGCTGCGTGTTCGGCCAGACAGCGGTCGCGTGCGAAAACCGCCCAAGGCATCAGATGCTGGACTAGATGTGGGACACTTGCACTGTGCGCTGGCGAGGATGTCAGTGACTACAATCCCTTGCTCCTGAAGCCCAGCACAAAGCGGTCACTACAGAGGAGATGAGGATCTTAACTCTCGCTGAGAAGCAAACAATCTAACCGTCACCAGACAGTCTCATAGTCTCCTCGTCTCTCCAGAACATGCTAGAGTCAAGTCAAAAGCAATATCAGATAGATCCACAAAAATGCGTGAATAAGAGTCACTAAACATGAGCGCAGATGACCGTTGAGCTATCGAAAGAAACCAGGTAAACGGAGCTACAAGTAGGTGAATCTAAATGTCGTTCTGGCACCTTTAGCTATGTATATTGTGTTTGTAGGAAAGACGGTTACGTGTGGCGCTTGGCCTGTTCAACAACCCACAAAAGACGTCTGCAGTTGTTCCCTGCGGCATGTTGGATCAGATTGTAATTGTCAAGCCTTGTGGGTATGCTTAATAGGCTCCCCGTTATCCCAGGGACTATGAATCACAAGACAACCAATCAAACGACATTGGAGAGGACTTGTCAAGCTAACTAAAGCATTGTATAATATAGCCAAGCTTATGAGGATAAAACGGATCGATTGAACTTCAAGCTGTTTTCCTTACTGAGCTCTTTACCTCACTCATTTTACTTGACTTGGTATGGTCTGACCTCCTAACTGCAATATAAAGTCGCGTCATCACTAACATATTGTGTCAGAATGCGACAAAGAACACCAAACAGTGGTTTAGAGCGTATGATCAACGACAGTGGTAAGGTATCCTGCGCATAACCGCGTCATGCGACTAACATGGCCTCGACAAAGACTTTTGCAGAAGGCGTAAAATGTCATGAATTAAGCTGCTAGGAGGCCCACGCCATGCATTGAGCGGTTCAAAGTTATTTTTTCTGAAAAAAGCTACTAAAGCCTACTCATCCGGTAGCGGAAAGATAGTATTTAGCAGAAAAACTACATCCGAATCCAACTGGAGTTGAAATCAGGCTGGCGCTCATTCAGATTTTGAAATTTTTCCATAGCCTTGAATAAAATTATGGGCTCAGCTCAACTTTAATTTGAAATCAATCTGTTCATGACAATAAATGCACCAAATGCAGAGTAACATGGGAGGCAACAGGCAGATTGATTTCCATTCCCATTGATGTCCTTAGCACGAATGGATGTCTCAAAAGATAGGACTTTACTATTTGAGTTTAAACACGCGCCTGGATGGCCGGTTGGATATCCTTTGCTCGGTTGGGGGTCAATTAGACCCCGATGAGATCTTTGGAGCTCAGAGAGCTAGAAATACCAAATTCACAGGCTGTATTGAAGTGTACGTAAACCTTACTTAGTTCGTAGTTTGAGGTTCCTAGGTCGTGACCTTCGGACCAAATAAGGTTAAAAAGGTTTAACTCCATGTAGTCTCAAGGGGTCATTACAACCTATATATCTGTTCTAGGGAAAAGGTCACATGATCATTACAGGTGAGTGCTTTTGTTTGACCTTTGTAAGGTCATGATGACCAAAATCATGTAAGACTGCTTTGAATTTTGCATTTGATAAGTGGCAAAGCTTACGCTTGGCAGCATGTTCCTAAAAAAAGTTTTGACCTAAGTTATCTTAGGTCAGTGACCTGCTTTGACCTTTAAAAAGTCCATGGAAGATGTGAAGTGCGGTTCATGTTGTCAATAATTTAGAAATGAGCACCAGAAACTGCCCCATGCAGCAAACCCTAAAGAAATGAAACAGCTTAATTTTGACCTTGATCGGGCCTTTACACCTTACCCTAGGTCAATGGAATTTGTTCCTTTAATTGTTGTAGTGCCAAAGAAAGTAGGTCGGAGATGTATGGCTTCTAACACTTCGTTTTTGCATCAGATTAAACAATTCCCTAGAAACTGACTTCGCTGAATCCATGCACTGACTTTGACCTACCGCAGGTCAGCGATCTTACAAGGCGCATCTAAATTCTTGATACGAAGCAATTCGCCATTCAACTGTCCTCAGCTATGCAAACTTTGACGGGGCTACGCCGCGGCGATCGGAAACCAGGCCAGAAATTTGACCCCGTACCCATGCGAGTGTTAATGATGTCCTCATTGCTATGTAAAATTTATTTGATAGACTTACTATACCTGAGAGGTGACTTACCGCAGAAAACA